CTGCGACCTGACTCGGGGCGCCGTCCCCTGCGACGGGAGGGCCGCAGTGACGGGGGACGCCCAGAAGAGCGCGACAGTCAGCTTTCTGAAGGGCACCTGGTGTTTTACTAACCCTGCCCCAGAGTGATGAATGAGGGGGTGGATGACATCTGTGCAGTGGTTCTCCACGCTGACGGGTTGAATACGCTCTGCTCAGCCTGATTTCCTATCAATCCTTGGCCTTTGCAATCGTTTTGGGCCGTGCAGCTACAGTTTTTAATTGGTGTTTCCTTCATGAGTTACCAAGGACAAAGGCTGTTCAGGGAACCACACAAAATGGGGGGATGTGGAAAAGTTGTCCCAGGACTGAAATGCAACCTCTGAACAAGAGAAAGCAGTATGATATGGGATGCTAGCCGTTATAACTGCCTTTTGGAAATAGTACTTTTAGTTTCGGTCCACAGGACCTCCTTTTGATGAAGACTGAACAAGCTGTGCGTGAACAAGCTGGCAGCCCCTGCACCCCACATCAAGGTGTATGTTGCGAAAGGGCAGAGGCTCTAGTTCTTGTCAAAATGTATCTTAATGCTCCAGCAGATTTTTCACTTGCATTCATAACCAGAATAGCCAAATGTATATGTGCAAATCGCAAACCGGCACCTACTTTCTTTACATATACTCATCTGCTCTTAAATTCAGTAAATGTTGTCCTCCCAAGCCTAAAGCTGGGATTTGGCGCACACATCTTTTGCAGCCCCACCATCCTGTTGCTCTCCTTTACCACTCTGCCAGCCACTTACTATGTCTGTCTGTGTGCCTAAGCTGTGAACAGTTTGCAAACTGTTTTGGGCTGAAAATAACCCAATGGCACATCTGTTGGTTCAAACCTGTCTTCTCTATTAGCCACAGGATGGCATTAGCCTGTGATTATTTCTGGAACATGAATTGCCTGCTTGACATAATGACCATCTCTTTTGTTTTCCAGAGCTGATGGATCATTTTTGGCAGCTGCACTGGTGGTTTATATTTAGTTATTTAAGATACAGTGATAGCTACAAATGTGCTCTAAGTGGCTTTGACCCCCAGTTCCTGGTCTGGGGTCGAGGTGGGGGAGAGATGTCCCTTACCCTGTGCCACTAATGCCAGAGGAACATTGCCAGCTCACTTTCAAGGCAAGCCAGCCAGGTTTCATGCTTAACGTGAGGATCTATTTCAGTAGTCCCTCCAGGGATGCTGAGGATCCCCGCTGGATTTCAGAGCCTTCAGTAAAGGTCATCGCGGCACCTCAAGGAGCAGGGACATCATCTGTCCTTGCTTAAACTGCAACCCAGAGTGCAAACTCCACGGGGCAGTGTGTCAAAATGGGGCAAATCTGTTGTGTCCTCCAAAACTGGTGAGGTTAGATTGAAGATACACAAGGTTTAAAAGGAGATATTGGGGACAAATAATTTTGAATGTTTTTTGGGTTTTTAAGTTTACAGAGTAATGTGTGCCTGGTGACTGTTTGGTTGACTGATTGGTGGATTTGATGTGTGGAAAAGGTTTAAGGGCTAATCTCTGGAAACATATAATGTATCATGATACAGTTGTTTCCTTTCTATCATCTGTTGAAAGAAATCAGGCTTATTTTTACTACCTTTTTAAAGGAAATCAAATTTGAAATACAGATGCTTGTTACAGTCCAAGCAAAAAAGTTCTCCATTTGTATTTTGTAAGAAAACTTCAGTCATGTGTGCTGTTTGTTACGATTGGCCCAGTAGTTGTTCTAATTTTTTTACATCTAAGCATTCCCCTGAGAAATTTTTAGTCTCAGCTTATTTCCTGGTGTCCTTGTAATGTTTTAGAAAATTAGAGGACAAATTAATCTCTCTAATAATTTCATTTTTTTATAGAAGATTTAATCTAAGGTGAAATTTAGTCCAAAAACTTCAATAAATGATGACAGCAATATTAGTTAGGATATTAACTTTTTTGTTTGTTTTGTTATGTGCAACTACTTGATATATTCTTGCATGCTGGCTACAGCTGCAATTCTGGAAATAGCAAACTATGTAATTTTTTATAAATCACTACTTATAGGAAGGTGACTAATAAGTTGCATGTGCTTTTAGTGCAATTTTAAGGCCAAGTGAACAGCCCCATTCATTAATGATTAAGAACTTGCTTGCTCTCAGCACATGAAGATAACATTAATTTACAAGAAACCTTTGAAGTAATTTTTTTTTATAGGTAAAGGAGGAAATGAGGATGTTCATCTCACCAGAGATAACATTCAAGTTTACAATATTCTTCTCATAGTATGACACTATTACACCACATGTTGTTTAAAGGGACATTTCTAAATCATATGTTATTTCTAAATTTAATTTAGTAAACACTGAGGCTCATCATGGCCCAAGAAGGTTCTGTTCCCCCACCCCAAGATCACCTTGGGGTCACATTCAGCTCAGAAGAGCTTGATCCAGCGACCATGACTTGTCCAATTGGGGCTTGTGTAAAGAGGGTTGCACCACTGACAGGCATGTCGGCACAACAAACACAAGGGGCAGCAAGCAAATAGCCATTCTTAAAAACACACACACGCCTCTGCCAGTAAGTGCCTTTCAGTGCAAAATACTGTACAAAAGGATGTCCAGGAACACTATTCCATCCATGTTGTATTATTTCAGTTCCTAATAGCAGGTGTGCTGTGGTATTACTACCACGTTAAGTCCAGGAACAACTTATCATTAAGCATATGTGTTGGAGGGGGGAATATAAAGGAAAAAAGATGAGGTGTCCTGTTTTGAAGAGAAAGGCTTTTTGATACCATTTTCAGAAGTAACTCAAATCTTGGTTTTAGTTGTTCATAAAGCTTCATTCAATCCTTAGAAAGTGTCAGCCTAACTATGATGGTTGCAAGCATGAGAGAAAAATCACAGCTCATAATCAGCATGCTAACATAGATTACTTTCTCCTGCCAAAATGTCTTTCTATATACACGTATGTTTGCCTGTATAGATAACTCTGTATGCGGCTCCAAATTTGGACTGGGTTTTGCTGGTAGGTAAAACTCTCCAGGCAAAACCCTTGCAGCATAGGCAAGGCCTCTGCTCACCAGAGGAGCGGCTGCATGATCCCCATCCTGAGGAATCTGTTCGTTTGAAACAAAGCCTCAAATGACACCCATGTGTTCATGGTGAATCCCCAGGGCAACACAACTAGCCAACTCTCTTGGCGAAGCCAGTAAAAAGTAGTGGAGCTGGAAGGGTCAAAGGCCGAGTTTCAAAGGGGAAATCCCATCTGAA